ATTTAAAATTTCCAGCTTCAGCCATTTCCAGCTTCAGCCACGACAATTATTAAGCAGATTAATCCTATTAAGCTGCAAAATAACTATTAGGATTATGCTTACAAATATTACTAAGGAAAATGAGGCTTTCGGCTTCTAATTTTATCATTTATTATTACCTGATAGACATATACTTATTGTTTCTAATAAATATTTAAATGATAAAATAGAAAGCCTAAAGTCTTCTTCTTTCTTTAGAAATACTCATATAATAATAATAATAATAATAATAATAATAATAATATTATTATTATTATTAATTTATTTTTTTTTAATTAATATAATATTATTATTATTATTTTTTTTTTTAATAATAATTTTTTTTCAATTTACCTCCAGTTGAAAGAAATTTTGTGGTCGGCCAAAGAATTTTTGTCCGTAAAAAAAAATAGATATGTATAATTTCATCAACAATCACTTCACTAAGCACCCCATCACATGGCATAAGGAGTAATATTAAACAATAATTATTAATCATCAAACAATTGTTAAATATTAATCATCATGCTGTGTAATGGGGTGTTTGGTGAAGTGATTGTCATGAAATAATATGTATTCAAAAAAAATGCTTCAGATATTGCTAGAGAAATATCTCAGATTTAATAGATAGAACTTTATCACCACTTTCTAATTTATCAGCCTGGCTTATATTTCAATCTACTGATATTGATACAGGCAGGACCAATAGTAATAATGAAAACTCTGATAATCCTGCTAACTTCTCTGATAATAATAATTGTGATCTTGATAAAGAATACAAACCTATTGCTAGACCTAGTAACTTTCTGAATAAGTATATCATACATGGTCTTGCACAAGAAGAGTTTCAACTAGAATTAGTTTATCCACAGATATAGCATTGTTTCTCATTTTTCCAATAGTTATTTCATGGACAAACCATTATCTAACATTATATAGTGGTTAGAGTTAGCATTTTTGTTAGCTATAAGTACATATATTATTAGTAAATTATCACTTTGTAATATCAGATAAATGGCCTGTCAATATAATAACTATCGAGAAATTAGATATAATTAGGAAAGGCAACAGCTAGCTATTTTAGGCTTAGCCGACCAGCTAAGCCTAAAATAGCTAGCTGTTGCCTTTTCTAGATATAATCCAACTAAAGATCATATTAAATTATTAAATTTGAATTTGACAAAAAGCACTTGCCCAACCAACAATCTTTGAAATATTTAATAAAATTATTAAAAAACTAATAAAGAAAAGCAAAAAGAAGTTGGTGAAGAAGGAGCCAAAGTTGATAAAGAAAAGCAAAAAGAAGTTGGCAAAGAAGAAGCCGAAGTTGATAAAAAAAAGCAAAAGGATGTTGGTGAAGAAGGAGCCCAAACTGATAAAGGAAAGCAAAAGGAAATTGTTGGTATGTATCATAAAATAGTAATAGATACTAGCTATATAAAGTAATTTTATTTAGTATTTGTATACTGTTTCTGGTTTAGAACTCTAAAGGAATTCTTCTTTAATATCAGAAGAAGTAACTTCTAGAGTTTCTAGTCATCAAGAGTTCAATATCAGTGCATCTGATATTAACTATCAAGATCCTAATATTGATGATATTAAAATTATAAAGACTCTTACAAATACTGAAATCTTTCTACAATGTTTATTAGAACAAGAAGAACCAGAAGATCAGGAGAAGGAAAGTGAAGACAACTAAAAGTAAAAGAAAAAAAACAAAAAAAAACAAAAAAACAAAAAAAAATAAAAAAAAACAAAAAAGAAAAAAAAAGAATTGCAAAATAAATTTTAGAGAAAATACATATATTTTTATATCATTTTATATTA